AATATGTATTTTTAAGATTTATTTCACAAACGGTGATATTTATCAAGCCTTTATTTATGCTAACTTTAATTACAATAGTATACAGTCAATGAAAGTCCAAAAATCTCGGGGAGATTGTGTTTATTCACAGAGTCCTGTATGCAGGCATATCAACGGAAAGTTGAGTGGAAGCAAAAAGTGTGGCACCAAAACATGCACAAGGAGCGTAGGAAAGCACAGCTTTAACAGTGTGTGAAGCATTTCCCGTTTGAGAGTTTTGAGGCGTGAACTACGTGGCGTTCCTTGTGTTAAGCCTCTGCAGAAACCAAGACAATGTTAGATTTGTCTTGTTGCTTGTGCACCTTTTCTCACCTATTTTTTTCTTCCACTCAACTTTCCATTAAAATACTTCGACATAGCACTTGGTGAACACCCAGCTTCTTCCCATCTGACCTTTGCTGCTTTACTCTTTTTGTGGTGGGTGTCAAAGACTTATCGGGAAAATCTTCTCTAATGTTATGCAGGACATAGTGTGAAAATTACAAATTATTTCTGTACTTCTGCATTTTGTTTACAGGTATTATCTAATATTTTAGCTTTCTTAGAAACCGGATCTGGAGTTTATGTTAGCTGGAAGTCGCAGTCAACAAAATAATCGGAAATTAGTGGTTGAGAGATGTCACTCTGCGAGTTATGAATCTGCATCACTTATGCTTTGCCTTTTACCATAAATTCTTAAAATAAATAAACTTTTAAACCTGGCATTTCATCAGGAAAACTCACAAGAGAGCAGTGGCTTTAGTTAGTTAGTTAGTTAGTTAGTTAGTTAGTTAGTTAGTTAGTTAGTTAGTTAGTTAGTTAGTTAGTTAGTTAGTTAGTTAGTTAGTTAGTTTCAGAAATAAGCATCTGTACAATCACTATTACTGGAATATTTTTGTCAGATTAAGTTATGTTCTGTCTTAAAAAAAAAAAAAAGGACAGTCTGTGGTTTGTGCTTATCCTTGTGATGCCGCAATCTTTGATCAAGCATCAAAGCCGCAACCTTTTGTCACAGACTCCACCCAGACTTATTTATCCCCCTCTCTGAGATCACATTACTTAAGTGTTACAGAATGCATTAATGGTTCCACGGCTTTCGAGCGTTGCCTGTGGTTTGGCGCAGTTGTTGGAGCGCTTGCAAATGGAATCACATTCTACAAGAAAAACAAGAAGAAGAAGAAAAAAGAAACAATATATGACTGTAAACTTTTAGCTTAAACCTCACAGCAGTCTAATCTTCTATTAGTGGGAGGCAATTACAACATTTTACATTTTAATATAAACAATCAGTCTATTGAGAAGTGGCGTAACATGGGTCTGTGAACAATACACTATGAGCAATAAATCAAACTCTGACAAAAATTACATTATATTTAATTTAATATGAACCCTACCTTAATAATATAAATGATATCTTTCTCTAATTTAATTGGCACTAGCTTGGTGCATATTGCTAATATAATTCTGAATTTCCATATTTAATGATGCATGCTTTTCACTGTGAATTTTACTTAGAAAATGTCGTCCTTAATGAAGCTTGGAAAAACCTCTAATAGGCGTAATCTAAGAAAATGCAACTTCTCTATTCGAAAAGGTTCTGAGAGCAGTTCTGCAGAGCGCAGAATAAGCAAACAGGCAGCGGTGCAGCCAGCTCGGTTTAAATGTACTTTTTTTTTTAATTCCTGAATCGTCTAGATAGGAAAATATACAACCTGATCTCTAACAGAATATATTAATGCATGCATTAAAAGCATATTGGCTGTAAAAGATATACAAAAGGGGGGAAAATAAAAAAAAACTGTGTTTTTTTGTTGTTTTTTTAGGGTATTTAAAAAGCAGCAGAGTATTCCTGCCTTGTGAAAAATACAGCTGGAGATCTGAAGCACGGATGTGTAACATTCAGGATAAAGATATGATTTCAAGAGAAAGGTGTTCAATGAAGTTCTGCACTGGTTGAGTGGACAAATGTGCTCTCCCGGGAAACCGTCTGTGCATTGCGCTTGAATTAAACTTGTGCTGTTACATCTCTCTTTCTGCTTTTCCCCCCGCCGTCACATTTTAAGACGGAAGCCACATGTGTGCATTTGCATGTTGCTCGTCGCGAGAGGCGAGGTTCTATTTTGCAGGAGTGGATTGTTTTTTGTTTTTTTTTTTGACAAAAAATCCAAGAAGGTCCAGGAATGAGTGACACAAACGCGGGACACAAGCTGAGAAGGGAAAGAGACGGGAATGGAGAACGCCGCTGTGAAAATGAGAATAAATGGATGTCAATTTCCATGTGGAATTGCTAACCAATGATCCATTAAGCCAGCCTTTTCACAACAGACGAACAAAATAGCCTGAATTAGAAGCGTCTGACATTTCAGTTAATTGCACTAACTATGTCAGCTAACAGTAGCTTCCTACCAGATCCTCATCCTCCATCCACACAGAGCATCCTCACACGGCGCCTCACGAAAGTATTCACACCGCATGAGATTCTCTGACCTTTGTCCTGTTAAAACCGCAAACTTTGCGCGAGACTAACGCGTGACGGCACGGCGAGTGTGAAGTGGAATAAAATGGCATTTGTTGTCTGCAATATGAAAAGTGCGGCGTACATTTGGATTCGGCTTCCCCGAGTAAATACTTTGCAGCAGAACCGCCTCGTGCTGCGTTTACAGCTGCAGGGATTTTTGAAGTTTGTCTCTAGATGCTTTTAACAACATGAGAGATTATCAAAAAAAAAAAAATAAATAAAATAAAAAAGGTAATTCTTAATCCAATCTTTGGAGCTGGACTTTGTCTATATTTGACTGACTGTATTTAACCACATAATATTTTTTTTTTCTGCTGATGAAAAGCATCCCATGACACGCTACTGCCAACAATATGGTGTAGTCAGAGTGTGTAGCATTGATTTTTCCATGCATAGCATATTGCAGGTCTTCCACATATTTGTTGTGTCCTCCAATTGGCTTGTGATGAACTGCAAACATGACTTATGTGTCAACTGAGGCTATGGAATGGTTTTATTTAGGGGAATCAGATTGAAGGGGGTAGACTACATTCATAATGTCACACTTTTCAGATTTTATTTGTGAAAAAAAAATTAAATATTGTATCTTTCAGTATACTACAACTTTGAATTGGACTATGACAAAAGTCCCAATAAAATTCTGGCTTTAGCATAACAAAATGTGAAAATTCTAAAGAGGTAAAAAAAAAATAAAATAAAATACCATCATAAAACTACATGATATGTGATGTTCGACATCAAAGTTTCTTCTAAAATAAAATAAACATAATGCACTGTTTTGTTGTTGATCAAATGAAGGAACTTATTAACTTTGTGCACTTTCAGTATCAATCTGTACATTTTTCTTCTTTTTTTTCTGCAAGTTGGTATAGGTAAAAAAAAAAAAAAATACATCAAGCTTTCCCGCTTATGCAACAAACAGACAGAGAAAGTCCTTGGTGTCATGAAAGCAAAAAGGTTTATTCATGTTTGAAATTACACAACTACCACAAGGAAGACTTTTCTGTCCAGGGTGTAGTCTGGTTAGAAAGTAACACTAAACATTTTTAATACATTAGAATCACTGCCACAAATCATTTTGTCATGACTTTTTTTTTCAGTTTCAGAATCACATACAATAGAAAAAAAAGAGAGAAAAAGAAGTCTTGCACCCTGTTGAACAGAGCTGGAAATGTACAGTTCTGAATACTGAAACCTCTATGCATTACAGTTTTTATAGTGATTTTTTTTTCTTTTTTTCTGAATGATTTAGTAACAAGATGAGCAACATTCAAAATGTTTTTTTTTCTTTTCTTCTTCAGTATTTACAACAGTTTTACTGTTTGGTGTTTATCACCCCTCCCGCCCTCGATAAAAGCCATTAAACCAACAATTTCTTCACCCTATCCCCGTCTGTTCCCCCCCACCCTCCCCTCCCATTGTGTTAATATTGTTATTTTTATTTTTTGTTTAATTTTAAGTTGCAGTACAGCAACGCAATTTTATTAAAAGATTAAAATATACATTAGATTACATAGGGAATGAAGAGTTTACACTGTTGTGAGATGTAATCAAAAATAAGTAGATTAAACCATTAAATAAGGACCAGAAAAGTAGAAAAGAAAAGAAAGAAGGTGTGATGGTGATATTGTTTAGAGGTAGTAAGTGAGCACTCTAAGCTACGGAAATGTTGCAAATGAATGTTTTTTTTTATGAATGAGGTAAGAAAGTGGCGTATTGATTGGTTGGATGTTTTAATTACTCTTAAGCTAATATTATGTACAACTTTTCCAGCGTAACGGGGCGGGCTCCTGCAGGCCGTGTCAGAATGATCTACTGTGGGGGAGATTTGTTGATTCCATAAGCAGTACAAAAGAAATGTTTACATATGTACACAACAAAACGTCAAATTATAAAATATGGAACCGTGTCACGTTTTTAGTCAAGCAATCAATTACGCTTCTTTATGTTCCAACGCTTTGAATAGTCGTTTTCTCTTCTCACACTCGTGTACGCAGCTGTGAGACAAAAATAAATCTTGAGAAGTAGCCGCGAAGCTGCCACCGAGCTGTCGGCGTCGAGCATTGTCGAGTCGCCGGACAAGGCTGCGAGCACATTAGAGTCAAAGAAACAGCTGCGTTAATTGAGGGAAACGAAAGAGCGCTCAATTATCAAAATGGAGAGCGGCTATCAAATCAAGGATCGGACGAACGGGCGTTTAAAATGTCATGAAATGTCATCCGGTTGTTTTCGTACCAGAGCTGGAGATATTCGTCCTGAAAGTTTGGAGGAGTGTGTTTGGCTTGGGGAGAGACTGTTTGTGTATTTGTACGCCTGCGTGTTTACCACTGCAACAAAAGCAAGGCGATTACAGTCGATTCATGAAAGAGAAAGTCTGAGCGATCAGGAAACACTTAGTGTCCATAATGGAGGATGCCATGTGCAACGTGTGCGCCGCAGTCACCGGAAATCTTAAGGAAAACTCTTTTGTTTTTTTTTTTTTTTTGCTTTTTAAGTCCTCGTCTGTTTTACAGGAAATGAAGAAGTCCATGCTGCGCTGCAGGGGAAGATGCATTAATCAGTTTGAGGTGTCTGAGTGCACACTTCCAGGCCCTTCTGTAGGAGAGATCACAGAAGATGGAGTCCTTGCATCTTGCCATCCTCCATTAGCCTGGGACACAAACGGAAAAAAAAAAGGTTGAGATTTCAGTTAGACCTGCTGCAACAAGAGAGCAGGTCGGCTTCAGAGACGGAAGAGAGTATGAACAGCTGCATACACATTATTCTCACTAATGCATCTGGTCACACTGAAACAATCTTGAATACACAACATAAGAATTAGGTGAAAATACACATCTCAGTTTTCAAATGATGATTTCATGAATTAATCGGAGCAAGGTTTTTAAACCAACATGAACTAACGTTTACATAAGTGTGACTAAGCACATTTTCTTGTGTTTTCTTTACCTGTGAGACTACAGCCTCACAGGTAAAAAAATAAATAAAGAAATTAGTTAAATTGAACCGTTCTGAAAACATGAAAGTTACACATTGTGCCTCAATCTAAAGAAATTAAATAATAAATGAAAAATAAACTTAGACATTTTCAATTTGAAAAGAGTTACAAACCCATTATTTACGGTTTTGCGACTCATTGGGGGGGGGGAGGCCAAAAAAAAAAAACATGGAACAGTGTTGTATTCTTGTCTCAGTTAAAGTTTCTGTTCAGGATTCAACAATAACAATAAATTCTCCTCTCTACTAATTATGAAGGAGACTGTTTGGGCATCTTAACCTCAAGTAGACTCGGGTTATGTAGCAGGATAATAATCTAAAGAACATCAACAAGTCCACCTCTGAAAGGCTTAAGAAGAAAAAAAAGAGTTTTTTGAATGGCCAAGTCAAAGTTCAAACCTAATCTGACCGAGATGCTGTGATACGAACGGTTAAAACATAAAAACTCTCCAGTGTGGATGAACAGGAACAACTGCATGAAGAAGAGTGGGCCAAAACCCTTCCAGAAATGTGGAAGCTTTATTTCCTTCATAAGTGAGAATATCTCTGTAAAACGACATTCAATATTTACTTCTACATCTGATATTAAACTAAGACAAAAATAAGCAAGAAGCCTTTCCTTCAAGAAGACATACTAAAGGTGGCAAACACATTTGCCGAATTGCATCTCCAGACATGTTGATGCCATGTGAGTAGCCCAGTCATCGCAATACAGCGGCATCAGCAAAGAGACATCCCGGAAACAAATTTGTCTCTTGTCCGAACCAATGGGAGCGGTCCCTGAAATCAGTGTCTAAGCAGATTTCAGCAGCGGCCGACAGCTTGTCGCTACATATTCTCCTGTCAGTCAAGAAGAGGGAGGGCTCAGCCGGGTGAGGTGGGGAGAGCTGAGCGAAAGTGACAAGGCAGGGCCTCTCCAAGAGAGCCGGCCCTAGCCAGCCTGACTATGCTTTGCTCCAGGCGTGACCTAGCCTTTACTGGATCTCTCTACGTCACCATCAACAAAGCTAAAGGTTAGTCTCTGCAAATGCATGTAAGAACAAGCGGATTGTTGCTGATGAAAATAAAAAAAGACGGAGGAAAAAAAGGAGCTTTGCTACAAGAGTTTTCACCTTTTTCTCTTTTTCTTTTTTTTTTTTTAAATATTCATATTATTTTCAGTGTTTACTCGGAGCATCAGCCTACTCTGGTGAACCGTGAGGTCCACACGGCACATGGAAGTGAGAAACCTTGGGAGAACGTGAAAAACACTTGATCTTGTTCAGAGCTGACATGCCGACATGGCTTACAGCGATACAGCAACAGTAAAGCCAAAACAACACTAAAAACCCTGAACTCTAAAAAAAAAAAAAAAAAAAAAAAAAACCGCCCCTTTTTTTTTAAAAAAAAAATTCTAATTTTTTTTCAAC